AAGTTGATGTGTAAAAAAAAAGCTTTAGAATTAGGTATGTGAAAGATAATATTGTTAGGAAAATAAACTCAAACCAACCTAAAAGGATTGTGCTTTGTACGTTCTCAATCCACTTTAAAGAAACGGAAACTGGGAAGCATAAATGACCATTATGGGTGTGGTTGATATAACAAAGTGCAGAACTGGAAGATGGAGCTATATGTAACATGTAGAAATCCAGGAGTCTTCCCATGGGATTTTTATGATATTGGATAGGGTTCCCATAAACCACTTGGCAGCGTGTCTGGTATTTAACAAGGACTCAATAAATGTTAGCTGTTATTATTTTTATTACTGATTTAATAGTTCTACAGTCAGGTAATTTGAGATATAAAAAAAAAGACAAGGTTAGACCAGTTCATTGTTTTGAAGGAAAATATTGGGATAAACTTTTAAGTCCAACAATCAAATATTAGATAGTGAAAGACCTAAACTTCTCCGTGATAATATTTTTTGTATTGATATATCTTCATGTAAAGTTAGGACAGTATTGTTAATCACATGTCTGCAAAGTTGAGCTGGGAGGAAAAAAAAGTGTCATTATTGAGATCAGGGAATTGGCAACCCAAATTTAATCCTATTTAAATTTTAACAACAAATTGCCACATGGCCTTAGGAAGCTGTCCAACCTTTTCTTATCTTTATATTCTGTTTGACATAAGAATAATAATAAGCAACTTACTTTATTTATCACTCAGCTGGAAGATTACTTTGAGTTCTGTTTAGATAGAGTTCTGGTGATTGTATTTGTGTTCTCTCACTTGAGTGTGAGCACTATCTAGCTCAGCATGCTATTCATGCTACATGGAGCTCTCCAGCCCTGAAGATAAGGATCAGCAAAATGGTGGTTTTTTGAAAAAACTGATTTTCTATCAAAGCTCTAGACCTGTTCACCCCTTATGGTGCATACTCCCAAGTTTCAACAGGTTAAGGATGCCTCAGTACAGAAGACAGAAATGACTCAGAATAAAGTAATGTGATAAAGGGGGAAAGATCCTGTTTCAGTAGCTTGTCTTTGCCACTAAATTAAGCCTTTAATCCTGTAATCAATCTTCCAAGCACAATAGAAGAACATGTACACTGGATGTGAGGTTTAAACTATTATTAATTTTAGAGACTGACCAAACCCAATTAATTTCTGCTATACGAGGCAAACCTTAATACTGACATTTAAAGTCATTTTCACAGCTGACCATGGAAGAACATTGATAGTTATTTAATAATATGATCATATAGCAAAATAAGTTGCTCTATATTGATTTTATGAATTGAGCCCACCATCCTAGGTTGTCATTACATTAAAAATATATAAAAATATTAATGATTTAGAAGATACAATTGCAGCCTTTAAAGAACTATATACTTTGTCACTATTTGGGGGAGGTGAGAAAGATGTCTTTAGGAGACAATTCATAAAATCAAAAACAGATTTTACTTTCCTTCGTGTCTTTTTATCAGATCCTTAAAGAAATATCTCTTTAAAAATTCAGTATAATACAATACATACTTATGCATGACACTAAACAGGTTCGAGGAAGTTATAAAAAGGAGTAAGACTGAATCCATCCGTTGAACAGGTTGACAGCACAGTGTGGGCGATGTGTGTATGACTAATACGCTTCAGTGTGTTATATGTGGAGAGCCCAGAGAGACCAGGAAGGAGTGTCTGATACCTGAGTGTGGTCTAATGTCAAGTTTCCAGAGACCCCTAAAGCCTTTATATTTAAGACATCATAGAGATTGGAGCCCTGGTGGTGCAGTGGTTAAGAGATCGGCTGCTGACCAAAAGGTTCAACAGTTCAAATCCACCAGCTGCTCCTTGGAAACCCTATGAGACAGTTCTACTCTGTCCTATAGGGTCACTATGAGTTGGAATCAACTCGTCGGCAGCAGATTTTGAGATGGGAGAAAAGAGCCTGACATGCCCACAATTTTCCAGAAATGCCTTGATCCTGATAATCTAGATAGCTTAAAATTAATACCTGATGAGAACAATTCCTCATACATTCAGTAAAAAACTTACTGGAATATCTTAAGAGATAAAGAAGCAACCACATTTGACATTTTGAATAGTGATTTTTCCACACCAATTTAATTTCTTTCCATGTTTAAGTGACAGGCTACATAAACAATGAGAATACACTGGATGAAATCAATTTGGCACGCAGGAAATTTTGGGATTCTAAACAATATTCTCATCACAAAGCTATGGATGTATGACCTTAATCGTGGTAGTGTTACATGGGTGAGCACATAAATAGAGATTTGCAATTACATCACAGTAGGTTGGGCAGTGGATTATATAACAAGTTGTAACCCTTGGGGATCAGTTGTTTTGTAGGACCTATCACTTCTTGATGAGCTATACAAATGCCTTATAAACATCTTTATCCAAAATACAGAAATTAATAAATCAAGTGAAAAAGGACAAATATTGTATGAGACCACTCCTGTAAAAACTCATGAAAAAATTTACACGCAAAAAGAAACAATCTTTGTTGGTTACGAGGGATGGGGGGGTTGGGGGTAAGCCTAAATAGACAATAGATAAGTGGTAACTTTGGTGAAGGGTAAGACAGTACACAATACTGGGGAAGCCAGCACAATTTGCACAAGGAAAGGCCATGGAAGCTCTATAGACATATCCAAAATCCCTGAGATACTGAATTGCTGGGCAGAGGGCTATGGGGACCATGGTCTTGGAGAACATCTAGCTCAATTGGCATAATACAGTTTATAAAGACAATGTTCTACATTCTACCTTGGTGAGTAGCATCTGGGGTCTTAAAAGCCTATGAGCAGCCATCTAAGATACTCCACTGGTCTCACCCCTTTGGGAGCAAGGGAGAATGAATAATACAAGATACAAGGGAAAGATTAGTCCAAAGGACTAATGGACCATAACTACAATGGCCTCCACCAGACTGAGTCCAGTACAACTAGATGGTGCCCAGCTACCTCCACTGACCGCTCTGACAGGGATCACAACAGAGGGTCCTGGACAGAGCTAGAGAAAAATGTAGAACAAAATTCTAACTCACAAAAAAAGACCAGACTTACTAGCCTGTCAGAGACTGGAGAAACTCCCGAGAGTATGGCCCCCAGACACCCTTTTAGCTCAGTAATGAAGTCACTCCCGAGGTTCACCATTCAGCCAAAGATTAGACAGGCCCATAAAAGAAAACAAGACTAATGGGGCCCAACAGTCGAGGGACAAGGACTAGAAGTCAGGAGGGGACAGGAAAGCTGGTGATAGGGAACCCAAGGTTGAATAAGGACAGTGTTGACATGTAGTAGGGTTCTTAACCATTGTCATAGGGCAATATGTGTACTAACTGTTTAATGAGGAACTATTTGTTCTGTAAACCTTCATCTAAAGTACAATTAAAAAAATAAAAAGGAAAGAAAACCCTGTGGAGCACAGTTCTACTCTGACACACAGAGTCACCATGAGTTAGAATTGAAAATAAATCAAGTAAAGCTGCTGATAACTGAGCTCTTAACCACTGCACCACCAGGGCTCCATACCAGGAAACACATAACAATAAAATTCAAAATGCCATTGGATGTACTGAATAAGCATGAGCTTTAACTGAAAAAAGCAAGAGTTAATAGTATTTTTATCTCAGGGTTAGAAAAACAATGTTATAAGAGTCACACTGACAATAGATTATTTAAATGGAGCAGGAAAGCAGGAGAGAGAATCCTACCATCACTTAAGCCTCACCATTCTTAAGTATTTGTTCAAGTTTTGATCAACATACTTTGCATGAGATAGTTAAAAAAACAAGATAGCATGCAGAAAGCAAAATATTTGATGTATGGACTCAAGTATATGAACAATTGTGAACATTGCGCAGGACCGGGCAACGTTTTATTCTGTTGTACGTGGGGTTGCTGTGAGTAGGAGCCAACTCTACAACAGCTAACAACAATACTATGGTATAGCATGCACTATATTGTGGGGAACGTAACAACAAGAGCATGTAGTATATAAAATAGTATTATATAGTTTAGTATATAGTATATAATAAATGTCTGTTTTGTACTTACAGTATTTACGGGAAGAATCAGAACTGTTTGTAACCCAGAAAGCACAAGACTAAATAGTCATTTAATTACCTTCTTTAATTTCTCTAGAATTGTTCTCCGAATGAACTGAGCCTCTTCTTCTCTCCCTATTAATGACTAAACAAGAAGAAATATGTGCCTTTTGGCAGACTTCATTTGGCAGAAAGAGGTCCTTCTACATCATCAGGAGGAAAAATCTTTGGGTCAAGGAAAACCTCAAGTTTTCTTTCTTCAAGCTCTTCACTACGGAATAAATCGCTGTTAGCTCTGATGATTTAAATATCCATGGGATTGATTCCCTCAAATAGCCTTTTTGTTTTATCCCAGATTCCAGCTTGTTTACTCTTTCAAGCATCTCAAACTCAGGAATCAAACAGTGAGCCACTAGATACTCAAATCCAGGAGATGCACTTGGTATATCTATCCCAAGTATCAATTTTACTCAGAGATGTATCACAACAAATTAATTGTACACAAAAATTGAAATAAAATTTCATGTTAACACAGAGATATATTATGGAATATACTTTTCAAAAATGCAAAGAATCAAGGAAAATTTCCTCCTTTGTGGTGGACTTTCTCCAGCTTCGCCCACCCCACCAGTCCCCAGCTCCATCCCTGAAACAGTGTGCAGGTACACAAGCTTAGTCTCTTTTCTGACAAAGGTGAGGTAATGCCAGTTTCCTAATGAGTGACACCAAACTTATCCCCTCTTCATTAGCTCAGAAGCACAGGGGAGAGCATATTTTATTTCATGACTTCCCTCTACCCCATTATTTTCTTTGCTAGAAATAGAATATCAGAGATTTTGAGGTTTTTTTATGTGGAAAGGTTTTAAAAAGTCTCCAGATGTAATGGTAATACATAAATTTCTTTCTCTTCCTTTCCAGGATGGGTGCCAGTAAATTACTTGCAGCCTACACCCAGAATCAGTGAGTAGAAAAACTAGAATATCTGAGAACCTCATAGTGTCACTTTTACACACCTCTTCTTAAGATGATAACTGTCATCAGAAAGCACAGCATTGATGTCAGTCTTGGGGTGTATAAAGTTTTGAAGTTGAGGCAGAAGCGTGATCTTTGCCCTCAAGGAATTTACAAAGGAAAGCAAATGCTTTGAAGATAGATTTCTGTTATATCTAGCTTGATCAATAATTAATGTTCATCTTATTTGAAAAACTTTACATTTTGTTTCTATTTTTATTTTTTAAAATATTTAACACTTCAAACATTGGACTACATTCATTTTTCAAAGATGATTTCTTCTATGAATTACAGTAAAATCTTATGAATTCAGATATTACAGTAATACACAATTTTTGACTCTCACTAAGCTGAAATTTACCTTTGAATTGTCTGCAAGGAATACATTTGCTAAGCAAAATAGAGGGAGCACCTGCAACCTATATAAAAAGAATATATTATTTTCATGGCTTTGGCATATACAGTGGTCTTTAGGCAAAAAGATTCAGCCATAAAATAAAGATCCATGTCATTAAGTAGATGTCTCCTTAGACAGATTTTATTGGCAGATCACAGTATTGAAAGCAATAAAACTGCGCTGCTTTCTATAAATTCTGACTTCTATCATTCAGGCTGGCTTCTCCCTTCTCCTCTTCACCTCTCAACCCCTTTTATTACACTTTAGTAAAGTTTACTATTGTGTAATATATAAGCATTTATTAATAGGAGATCAATTTCTATTATTAAAGAAATTTATAAATATAAATTTTGATTTTTCAGACATTCACCTGTAACATTGGTCACCTGGATGACAGTAGTGCATTTACTTTTACAAGAAAAATTACCTGTCATTTCCTTTACATGTATTTTTCATGATTTCATATAGTGGGTGTTTGTTTTTGTTTATTTCATTTTAAAACTCAGTATTTTCACAAAGCTGGCAAGGCAGATTCTTGGCGTAATAGGGAAGATTTGAGATGAGAAAAAATAATCACCAAATCAGACCATGCCCTTCTTGTTCTGGAGCATGTTGAAAAATTAGAGTAGTAACTAAGATACAATTCATTTATTCATTCTTTTATTCATTCATTTATCTGACAAGCATTTAGCCAGAGGCCATGCTTATTGCTTCAAGAGATACAGAGATAAATAAAATTTTCTCCTTGTCTTCATTGTGCTGGCAGCCCATCAATTGAGATAGCGATGAAGACAAATAATTTTCTCATGTTATAAGTGGTGTGTTCTCCTTATATGCAAAATACTTTGGGAGCACAGAGACTATACCGTTAAATCTGGCTAGACGAGTTGGGAAAATATTCATAGCAGGTATAACCCTCTCACCTCTCACCCTTGGCTCACAGCTCCTACCTTAGTCTATATCCAGCCTCCCCTTGCACTTGAGTTTTAGTTCTGTGCCAGCACAAGGAACAGAAAACAAAAAAAAATTTCCACATCCTCTGAAATAGAAAAGTAGAATTTGAGCCAACTTAAAATCAGACGTTGCCCAGTTCAGCGCCATCTTCATGATTGTTTTACCAGCCTGCAAACTACCTATCCCTCACGCCATTAGCATCAGTTCTAGCACTGAATGGTTGCAATAAGCAAGACTGAGCCTCTGCTCCCACACTTGGAAGTGTGGACACTGGGTTATCTCACCAGCCACTATGAAAATGTCCAGTGTCCTACAGAAACGTTTAGTGAGCCTTGGGGACCCCAGGAGAGAGCTGTCAAGATCCATCTTGAAGGTTACTAAACCTACCTCTGAGGGAGATTTGAATTGCTAGAGCACATCCTCAATTTTCCAAATGGCAGTAATAAAGAAAATATAGGCTATATCTGGCACATTATTGACTGCTATTTTAATTAATATAAGACACATTCCTTATTTGGGATCATGTTTGATTTACTCACTCAATAATTATTCATTAAAGATGTACTAAATACAAGGTGCTAGCTACTATTCAAGGTCTTTGAAAATAATGAATATAAGCATCTTCCATGAATGATATTTGAAATATGAGGAATATTTCTCATATTTCTCTCCTGGGGTCCCTAAGGCTCAATGATATTTAAAATATGAGGACTATTTCTCGTATTTCTCTCCTGAGGTCCCAGCGTTAACTAACAGTTTCCATAGGACGCTAGACATTTTAATAGTGGCCAGTGAGAGAAACCCACAGTGCCACACTTCCAAGTGTGGGAACAGAAGCTCAGTCTTGCCTGTTGTAACCAGTAAATTCTGTATCGAGGTCTAGAACTAATACTGATGGCATGAGGGACAGGTAGTTAGCCAAACTGACCAAAATTCTAGGTTTCTGTGAAAATACAATTCAAAGATTCATTGTTGTTAGTTGCCATCGAGTTGGCTCCATCTTATGGCAACCTTGCGTATAACAGAACCAAACATTGCCCGGGTCTGCGTCATCTTCATAATCGTTTTACCAGTTAACATTGAGTCAATTCCAAATCGTTTTGACCCATGTGTGTACTAGAACTGTGCTCCAATGTGATTTTTCATAAGTAGATCTCCAGGCCTTTCTTACGAGGCATCTCTGGGTGGACTCGAACCACCAACCTTTCCGTTAGCAATCAAGCACATTAACCGTTTGCACTACCCAGGAACTCCTCGTAATCATTAGAGGTTGGGAAACCCTAAAACTTCTTCCTCTGTCTCCTTAGGCCTGGCTCCCAAAGCCCACTCTTGTGTGAATGCCAACAAGAATCACAAAAAATTTACCTATAAGCACCTTGCTTCCTATACCTTCCTTTCAGTCAGCTTGTGGTAATCTGCTAATGCGAAGATTGTTCCAGTACATCTTAACATCTCCATCCCCCATGTGTGGAACATCCCTACAGAACTGTGCTGAAGTGCAGCCCATCTCTGCCTTCCCCGGGAAGCGCCAAATGATGATTCTCCTGATTTAGTTTCACATTGTATATTCTCTCCACATCACAAATGCTCACCAGCACTTCCTTGAATGTGTTTTAATCACCTGGTGCTGTGCCAGCCCTACCTCAATGCCCCTAACAAATACCATTTCATTCCTACCTGGATTGTGTGCAGTCATGATTCTACGTCTGCTAAAGGAGCAACTCACTTCATTAAAAACAAACACAGTGACAAAACATCTTTTATCCATCTCATTTCTTCAGCCCTAACTGTAGCTTCCTTCCATTTCCTCATTTAATCAGCATGTCTGCCACTTCTGGGTCTTTGTATATTTTCTTCTTTACACCTCTGTTCTATCTTTTACATATCTCCCCAAACCAAAAATACACAAACCTGTTGTGGTCAAGTCAAATTTGACTCATGGCAACCCCAAGTGTTACAGAGTAGAACTGCTCCATAGGGTTTTCTTGGCTGTAAGCTTGGCAGAAGCAGCTCACCAAGCCTTTCTTCTGCAGCGTTGCTGGGTGGGTTGGAACTGCCAACCTTTAGATTAATAGTCAAGTGCAAACCGTTTGTGCCACCCACAGGCCTTTTATAGTTTATCTTGGTGTACAAGCTTTTGTTTTATTTCCCACTTAGTTGAAAGAACACAAAACTAATGTCCATTCATTAACAAACTCAAAATTAGGAGTATGTGTGCAGCAGCATTTCATTTACATGATTCTCTCCTTGCTCTTAAAAAATCCTTTGCTACGTAATGAAACAGTGTTCACTTTGGGCCAATTCTGTGATTCCTTGACAGCAAGAATACCTACAGCCTGGACTGCAACATCACAGATTTGGAGATCATGATAAAATGTTCAGGACAGAGTCTGAAACTCACATTTTCTGACTTCTGGGTCCTGTACTCCCCTAGGCCTCCATTTACAGAGACTGACAAAAATTTGTCCTTTCTATTTCATGAGTGGAGAGTAATTCAAAATCATTTCTTAGGGTCATCGAACTGAGAAATGTTCCTAGGAATTTCCCAAAGAAAATCTGGCAGGGTTTATGTACCAGCAAAAGGATACACACATTCAAAGATAACACCTTTTAACATATTGATGGCGTACTCTCTCCTGGAGTAAGGGGCCCGATTTGAGAAACAGCTGCAGCAGCAGCGTGTAATTGGAAAGGAAAGTTGCTCCTTGCCGGCTACTGCCGGTGCCGACAGAGAGTTCATACACCTGGTGCTCGCTCAGCCCTGGAGCTCTGCATTCTGTAGGTGCGCTCGGCTCAGCACAGTTCCTGGAAGGGACTCTTGGCTCATGTGTACCTCACGCCCTTGTCTTCACTTGGCTCAAAGATGGGAACGCGCATCCAGTATTCACAAGCACAGCAGACTGCAGAAATGCAGCTCCCATGCCGAAGCCGGAACTCCAGCCACAGCCGGGGCACGGGGCAGGGCATTTTCCAGGGCGCGCTGTGCTCCTTCCTCTGTGCGCATTCTCTGGCGAATGAAGAGAATTGAGAAGAAGGTGCTGTTGTGTTAGAACGAAGGTTAGGGTCACTATTGAAGGGGACAGCTGCCCATATTTTAAGTGCCTTTATCTATCAGCCCTGCACTCCACACACCCGGGAGTGTGCTTCAAATTGTCAGTCATGACATCCTGTTCTGTAAATCCAGGATTACCAAAGCTGTTAGGAAGAGAGAGTTAGAGACTTCTCCAGCCTTCCTGAGCTTATGTGAGAGTTAAGCCTTACAAATCTTTTAAGAATTGATGAACATGATGATATATTAAAAAAAAATATCTGCAGCATAAACCTCCAGATTCGTAGCCAAACAACCTCAGCTGAAAATCCCTTATACTGCAGGAAAGAAAAAAATACTCGTTGTCAGCCTTACCTACTCTCAGACTGACTCCAGATACTCAAACAGCTTGCAAATTCTGTACACACTGGAGCTATCATCCCCACATCCAGAAAAATAAACCATAGAGTTGTTGGGTTCCTTTTCTTTTGGGGATAGAGGAAGGAATGTACATTAGTATTCTTGTACAGTAATAATTAACAAAGAAAAAGTGGCCTCCCACAGTTAATT